CTTTTTCCTCTACCTGTCATAACCGAAAGCCCTATCAATTGTGGAGACAACTGGAAAACCCTCCCCTTGCCATAGAGTCTTCTCCTAGCGTGCTGTACTTCTCCCCACCCCCACCGGAAGCTCCTCTCAAAATTGTGGCACTGACCAGTGACGGAGCCACAGCAGAGGGAGGAAAGAGCCACATGCAGCTCCAGAACTGCAGTTTGCTGACCCCTGCTCTAGCGTGGAGATCATCCCTGGGACCCAGCCAAAGTAAGCAGGTATCTGCACTGGGCAGCAGCAGCATAGGAAGATGCTGGAGGCAAATAGTCACTTTAATGAAAACAACAAAGGCACCATCCATACAGCATGAGAGAAAGCAGAGGCAACCATTCCTGTATTTTATTAAGAAAATCACATGGACAGATAAATATAAAGAAATATAAAATGGTGCTGGATATTTTTTTAAAAATGTATTTGTATTTCACCTTTATTATTTTTACAAATAACTCAAGTCAACTAACACAGGGGTCCCCAACCCCCAGGCCACGGCCCACTACCAGGCCTTGAGCATTTTTAACTGGGCTGTGAAAGTGGACGAGCACATACATGCATCCACACTTATGCGAGTAGCGGACATATGCACATGTGGAACCATCCCCTCTCCCCCTCCCCCCTTGGCCAGTCTGCAAACCTGAAAAGGTTGGGGAACGCTGGGCTAAAATACCCAACACACCTTCCTTCTCCTCTTTCACAAGAACAATCCTGTGAGATGTGTTGAGCTGAGAGAGTGACTGGCCCAAAGTCACCCAGCAGACCTATTTTTTTGCCCGCACCGAACCGGCAGTAATGCCGGGAGCAGCCCACCCCTGGCTTCAATATGGAGTCCAGGTTTTTTCCCCTAGATTTTCCAAGAAGACAAAGGGGAGTTCAAAACTGCATCAGCACCCGTGATCAGTTGTCTCAGACAAAGAGCCCTTTCACCTTCTTCTTTTTAGTCTTGACAACAGGCACTTGTGCTTTCTGGACCTGGGAAGAAGAGGCACTGATCAGAATTAGTAAATCAACCAGTCACTCCAAATAAACAGGAGTTAAATCAACCAAATGTAGCCAAGTAAGACTTCATCATTTTACTTTGACTTACACAGCTGAGATGTAGAATGTGTCGTTTCTCTCTGGAATGTAAATAGCATTTGACACCAAGCAGTGGTGGCAGGTAAGACTAGTTAGAAAATAACAATGGCATCGACACATTTCAGACACAAAGTTGCCCCCGTAGGGTTAGAAAACCTAGAGCTGTGATGGCGAACTTATGGCACATGGGTCACAGGTGGCACACGGAGCTCTCTCAGCGGGAATGCGAGCCATTGCCCCATGCACGCATGCCTCCCACCAGCCAGTTGATTTTTGGGTCTCTGCCCTGCATGCACGGGTGGTGGGGCGCATGCAGGAGATGTGCACGCATGTGTGGGGTCGCCTGCATATGTGCGGGCAGAGCACAGGGGGTGCAAGGGCACTGTGGCCTGTTTTTGGTCCCAGGAGGCTTCAGGGAGGCTCGCTAGGCCCAAACCGGCCGCAGGAGGGTGTTACATGTGCAGGGGGGGGAACAAGTGGGGGGGTCATATGTGTATGCACAGGGCGGGAGTGGGGAGTGAGGGGGTTGTTGCACGCTTTGGGTGTGGATACGCATGCTTTTGGCACGTGAAAACAAAAAGGTTAGCCATCGCTGATCTAGAGTTGCTGCTGACCGTCATTGAACTTCACATACATAAGCAATAGAAGAGTTTACTACTAATCCTTTCAAGAAGGCTCTTCAAGAGGATTAAGAAGCAGAGTTGACCTCATCAGGGAAAGAGAAACTATGGTTGTCCAAGGGACAATTAACTCTTTGAGGACCCCCCTCCCCATATGTATCTAATGGTCATGGACCCACCACTGCTTCTTCCACATGCTGTGCAGATGACAACTGGGTCTCTATCTGTTCTTCTGCCTCTGGCAAATCTACCGGCTCTTCTGTAGGGTCCTGAGAAGCAGCATGGTTAAGGGATCCAGAGTCTTCTGATTCTATCAAAGGAAGAAGATAACAAACGGTGGTGCCATATAGATTAGTGCATTGGTTTAAGTATCAAGAGTAACCAGGTAAGTTATCAAGAATGTAGAATGGTACTTCAAATGAATGTTGGAAATGCAAATGTAAAGCAGGGACTTTCTATCATTTATGGTGGATAAAGCAAAGAAATATTAGAGCAGGATTCATATTCTAATACAGAAGATACTTAAAGTGAATGTGAAGATAAAACCAGAAACTTTTCTTTTGGATTTAATGGAAAAGGACTCAGGGAAAAATTGGAACTTTGATGTTATATAAGTTGACAGCAGCAAAATTACTTTATGCACAAAAATGGAAGGATGCTTCAATCCCTACAATGGATGAAAGGTTGCAAAAGCGGATGGAGTTAGCAGAGATGGCTAAATTGACTATTTTGATAAAAGAAAAAACCTCAATTACTTTTGACGGCTTCATATACAGCGTGACCCGTCAACACCGCACTCGTCTAAACCGCGCCTGATTAAACCGCGTCGCTGACATCATCAACAGGGCAACAACAGCCAGCCCGGAGAAAGAAGGGCGCTTTAAATAGCGCTTTGAAAGCAAGCCGATTCAACTTAAGGTAAGGGTTAGGTTTAGGGTTAGCTTTAGGGTTAGGTTAAGGGTTAGGGTTAGGTTAAGGGTTAGGATAAGGGTTAGGATTAGGTTTAGGGTTAGGTTAAGGGTTAGGTTTAGGGTTAGGTTTAGGTTTAGGGGTTAATTTTAGGTTTAGGGTTTACAGCGTGCTTCTGTCTCCGCGCTGTTGTCACCCTGTTGATGACGTCAGGGACGCGGTTTAGTCGGACGCGGTTTAGTCGAGCGTGGTTTTGTGGTGGAACTCATATACAGTAGCTGTTAAACAACATTCGAGGCAATAGTGCCTTGTGGCAACACACAATGGCCAAAATGCCGAGGGAGATTCACTTATTGTACTTCTGAGATCATTTCCACAAATATGAAATGCAGGCACTATCAGTAGTCAAGAGATCAATGCTTTCTGTCCCTCTTTTGCAGTAGGTCAACTGCAAAATTATAACTATGGTAGATTCTGTCCCAGCATTACCAGAAACAAGATTGTGCAGGTTAAGATAATTAGTGTCTTGCAGAGACATCACCTTCTCAACAAGCATAAAAACAGAAGTATCTTAGACTTGGATTGCAGAGAGGGTTCATGTAGGGTTATCCACAACCTTTTAATTTCCAGGTCACTCCCTCAAGGAAGAATGGGTCAACTTGCCATGGCCAAATTGCCACAGCCAACTTGCCACAGGATATCTCACCGTGACACAATTCAACAATTCATCTTAATTATTTAAAATAATTTTAAAAATATTTTAACTTTTGCTGTTCGCATTTCATTTTGTCCCTCCTTTTGCAGCCTTTCTTTAATGATTCTATCCCACCATTTCTTTGATATGTGTAACTCTTGTCCCACAGTGAGTTGTTCTGCAGCGAGTTGGCCGTGGTGAGTTGGCCATCACAAGTTGGTGATGGTGAGTTGGCTATCATGAGTTGTCCTAGACCCCTCTCAAGACCAGAAAGTATGCATTGACTGTGTGGCAGAGACAGGCTCATAGCTGCCATGGAAGCGATACAAATCAGTGTGAATCTTAACCTTTTGGAACAAGTTACAGACTAACACCTAAGGATTAACAGGTGGCTTACTCTACTGATTTATGTATAATGTCAGCATCAGATACTAAAGAATGAAATATGGTTTAAACACTTTCAGTAAGAATTCAGTGTTCTTTAGGATAGGGAGCAAACAAGAGATACAGTATATTTTTCTTCCATTTTTGAAGGCAGATCATTCATATTGTCTTTAGAAATTCTTAGCAAAGTGTACTCTTTTTTTGAGTTTTGCATCCATTATTTCAGAACTCCACTTCACAGTGTTTTTCTCCTTTTACCTTGAGTGTCTGTTTTGTGTTGTATGTGTTCAAATTATAGAAAAAAATGTTTACTTTATTGTGTTTCACCGAAAATAATACAGGGTCTTATTTTCTTTTGACCACCGATATAAGCACCTGGCCTTATTTTCGGTGAGGTCTTATTATTTTTGAGGTGCAGGAGGCGGCGAGCGTGGTCAGCTCATGGCTGCTGTTATGTTGAAATATTTTCAGGGAGGGTTTATTTTAGCACAGATGCTCAAAAACCCAATTGGGCTTATTATCCAGGGAGGTCTTATTTTGGGGGAAACAGGGTACTTTATTATTTTATTATTTTATTTACTAATCAGATTTTTGAACCATCATCTCTCTTAGAGTAGGATTATGGGAGGTGTACAATAAGAAGTTAAAATATAAAAACAGTATACAAGAATTTAAAAATTAAAAATGTAATAAAAAAGCATTTAAAATGATGCAAGAATAATTAAGTCTTTTAAATTAAATTAAAAGGAGAAGGGAGGGCTCTCAGGGCACCAACCAACTCCATGGCTGCATGCTCCCCTGTGCTTTCCAAGCAAGGGTACAGAGCCATGTTTTAATTCATTTTTAGAAGGCCAGGTTAGTGGAGGCTTGGCTCACCTCCAGAGAGGGAATGCTCCACAAGGCAGGGGCAACGGCAGAGAAAGCTCTCTTCCTAGATCCTGCCAGTCTGAGTTCTTTGATGGATCTGCAATATACCCTCCCTGCCTGACAAATGGGATGGGCCAATGTAATAGGATGAAGATGGTTCAAGTAGCCTGTTCCCATGCTATGTATGTATTTTTATATACAGTTTATCCAAAAATAAATATTATTTTTATATACAGTTTAATTGCTGGTAATAATAATACAATTGCCCTGCTAGGTGGCAAAATCCAGCTGGCTTTGACTGATCCCAAAAGGAGAACTAGGATCAGATCTGGGTAGGATTTGAATAGGATACCAGCACCAAACCCTAGGGCTGTAAGCTAGATGGTGAAACTGAAGCATTCAGAAAGAAGGCACTGCCAAACCATTTAATGTTATTTTTAAGAATATTATATGGATGTGAGCAGGATATTACCAGGAACTGAATGGAAAGAGACATTTTTAAAGTTAAACTGCAAAAAGCTGCATTATAAAATCCTTCACAATGTGGAACTACTAGTAGTATATTCGCATTCTGATTCATATATTGGTTCCGTTGGTGAAAACCAAGTCTGGTTGCTTTCAAACATATACTGAATAAAATCCTTAAGCATCCTAACCAAGTCACATGCAGAAGTCTAAACTGTAACATAGGAAAAGCAAGAAAAATCTGGAGACGTATATACACGGCAATAAAATATTGCCATGGCAGAGGGAACTTCATGTTAGGCTAAGTTGAAAGCCATGAAAGCAGTAATTACAGTGGTTTTAGGCAACTTTCTCTACATTGTTTGGAATTACAACCATCCTAATCTCAAAGATGTTAAATTAGCTGACCCTGAGCCAGAATATGTAACCATCAAGATACTGTAGATCAAAATTGCATGAAGAAATGGTAAGGGAATACAGGAGGGAGAAAACTAGGAGCATCAAAGGTTGTCAGGTTCTCTTGGAAGATGACTTTCTCTTAGCACAAAACCAACTGGATTAATTTACTTCTGGTCCTTTGTGATAAGTAGGCTTGCCTTCTAAAACAGGGGTCTCCAACCTTGGCAACTTTAAGACTTGTGGACTGCAACTCCCAGAATTCCCCAGTCAGCTTTGCTGTGGGAGTTGAAGTCCACAAGTCTTAAAGTTGCCAAGATTGGAGACCCCTGTTCTAAAGGGGTGGTGGCAGAGCTGGCACACCCTTCCCACCCTTGATCCACTCACCTGCCCGGTGCCGTTTGCAAGCAGCTCTGGCTTGTTGCTGGGTCACTGCCAAATAGAGCGATTTTAGGTTAGAAGTGAACATGCGTCCATCTCCCAGGCAGCAGGCTTGGGGCAAAGTCTGAAAAACAAAAGAGGAGATAGCGTGCAGGGTGGAGACTACAAATGGGATTATGGAACACGGGAAATAAGCATGCTACATTTCTATAGTACCAGTGTCTATAATAAGGAGGGCAATTCAAGAGTGATTTTGCAATACTGTACGTAAGAGTCAAGATCAGGTACAGGCCTTAATTCCATGGAACATCCGTACTCCGCACGCAATGGGTGCCCTGTTATTTTTCATTGACAAGGAACTTTGGTAACCAGAGAAGGGAATTAGTCTTTGGGGCATGCAATATTTGAAGAGGAGGCTGCCAGTCAAAACAGAAAAAAAGTGGACCAGAGAATAAACATAGAGCACTACAGTATAAAATTGCTTCTTTCGTTTACAGGTAGTCCTCGACTCATGACCACGATTGAGCCCAAGGTTTCTGTTGCTAAGCGAGACAGTTGTGAAGTCAGTTTTGCCCTGTGTTATGACTTTTCTTGCCACAGTTGTTAATAACATGGTTGTTAAGTGAATCTGGCTTCCCATTAACTTTGCTTGTCAGAAGGTTGCAAAAGATTATCACATGATCCTGGGATAATGCAACCGTTATAAATATGAGTCAGTTGCTAAGCATCTGAATTTTGATCAATTGATTAAGGGGCCGCTGCAGCAGTTGCAGTCATATGTTGCTTTTTTTTCAGTGCTGTTGTAACTTTGAATGCTCACTAAACAAACTGTTATAAGTCAAGGACTACCAATATTCTGGTAATCGGTATAATGGCCCCTATTCTCAAACAGCTCTGGGAGCACCGTCCCCGCTTCTAGGTAAAGTCATTGTACTTAGAAGAGCTTTCCACTTCTATTATAGAAATGGTATTAAAGCTTAGCTCGAGAAGTACCTAACTCCTCCATTTTCACAAAGAGGACTGTTGTGTTGGGAGCAGGAGCTTTATCATGCCTTGTAAGGCCACCCTCGGAATACTGAATCCAGTTTTGGTCACCACGATGTAAAAAAAGATGTTGAGACTCTAGAAAGAGAGCAGAGAAGAGCAACAAAGATGATTAGGGGACTGGAGGCCAAAACATATGAAGGACGGTTGCAGGAACTGGGGTATGTCTAATTTAATGAAAAGAAGGACTAAGGGTGACATGATAGCAGTGTTCCAATATCTCAGGGGCTGCCACAAAGAAGAGGGAATCAAGCTATTCTCCAAAGCACCTGAGGGCAGGACAAGAAGCAATGGGTGGAAACTAATCAAAGAGAGAAGTTACCTAGAACTAAGAAGAAATTTCCTGACAGTTAGAACAATTAATCAGTGGAACAGCTTGCCTCCAGAAGCTGTAAAAGCTGCAACACTGGAAATTTTTAAGATGTTGGATAACTGTTTGTCTGAAATTGTACAGGGTTTCCTGCCTAGGCAGGGGGTCCCTTCCAACTGTTATTCTATTCTAAGTGAGAGAGACAGACAGACACACACACACACACACACACACACCCTCCACCAATACACACACACACACACACACACACACACACACACACACCCTCCACCAATACATGCTAAGAAACTGTTTTTCCCCAGCAGGACAGAAGGGTAAGAACAGGTACTCTGTTGCATCCAGGCACAAGGCCCAAGGCTTACTCCACCCGCACCATCCTGGAGAGAGGGAACCCAGAATTCTGCTGGCTGCCCATGTTTCAAAGGTTTCCAGAGATAATGCCTCCATGTGCTGCAGCTGCTCCACACCCAAACAGGCAGGAGAACAAAGTGTAACAGATAATAGGCCAGTTCCTCTGCAAGCACTGAGGCGCTCAAGGCCAGAGTCCAAAGCTTTGCTGGTCACCCACTCCTCCCACCGCAGCCTGCAGAAGTGGCACAAGGCTCCTGGCCCATACTATAAATGACAGCCTAGCAGGATGGAATGGGAAGCTAAGACTGAATCATATACTGGCATTATGACTCCCACCTTCTTTCCAGATCCTTTAGGGAGACAGGCTGGGCCTCAAGCATCTCTCTAGACTTTCAATGTCTGAAAGTACTTTTAGTATTCCTGCTCTCCTTGTCTGGTCCTTTTCAGGATCTTTCAAACTAGAAATGCTCAGGATTTGAACCTGGGACTCTCTGCAATGCCAAGCAGGAGTTCTGATATTCAGCTACAAGACCATTCCCCTCCTTGGGTAAAAGAGGCTTTCCCTTTAAGTAAAATGTTTGTTTCTCATCTCTCCTTGCAGAGATAATTCTAAAAAAGATGCTCCAGGTATTCCAGTAAAGAAGGAAGTGAAGTAAAGATTATTTATACACATATCAACATGCATACGCACACATTTTTGCACACTATATCCCTTTGGTGTCTGTCCATCACTCACAAAGTTACAAAAATAAAAAGGAATGGAGAAAAGAGAGGCTAGGTATGCTTCCTTGAATTCCAAAACAAAAATACATAGTGCAGATAGTCCTCAACTTAGGACCATGATTGAGCCCAAAAATTCTGTTGTTGTGAACTTTGCCCCATTTTATGACATGTCTTGCCACAGTTGTTAAGTGAGTCACTGCAGTTATTAAATTAGTGACATGGTTGTTAAGGGAATTCGGCTTTCCCATTGACTTTGCTTGTCAGAAGGTTGCAAAAGGTTGATCGCATGATCCTGGGACATTGCAACCATCATAAATATGAATCAATTGCCAAGCATTTGAATTTTGATCACGTGACCCTGGAAATGTTGCAGGTCACTTTTTTCAGTGCCGTTGTAACTTTGAATGGTCATTAAACTAACTGCTGTAAGTTGAGGACTACCTATACAGTAGAAAGAGGGAAATTCACCAGCTAAAATAGGCATCAATTAAAATTTGCACATTCAAATAATAAAAACAAACCCGAAAAGCTATTTATTACATTGTGAAAGACTACCGAGGAATACACTAACCAACTTTCCTAGGGCAAAGAGTATCATAGACTATTGGGAAAGCTTTCTCGTCCCCTCCCTATCCTTGTTTCCCTCAATTTGTGCTCTGCCATGGTTAGGGTCAAGGAATGAAAGAGACTACTTTTGATGAAGACAAGATTGAGAACAGGTTCTCAAGCCTGGGCAGGCTTGTTGTTGTGGCCTGCCAGTGGCCAGCAGAGCTGGCAGCAGATTCTGACAGTGAGGAGGTTGGGGAGGAACATGGGCCAGTCTTGGAGTCTTGGGAAGGCTCTGATAGGGGCTCTATATCGGAGGCAGAGAGAAGGCCAGGGCTGTCTGACAGTTATCAGCTGCTTCCAGAATCAGACATCAGTGAGGCAGACGAACAGCTGGAGCCTGTTCCCAGTGTGCGCATGTGCAGAGTTGCCAGAGAAAGGGAACAGCTAAAGAACAGGGGTCGATTTGGGAGTAAGGCCACAGGTGGACGATGAATGGCCCTCTCAGAGGAAATAAAAGAAGAGCAAAAGGGGAGTGGAGTTTGCAGGAGACAATTAGTTTGCTTAATTGGATTGTGACTCTCGGAGAATCCTGCCAAGTTTTGCAGATATCGGCCTGTGAGCTCTCCAAGCCAGATAAGGTCTGTGACTGTAAATCCCCCCTTGAAAGACTTTGCTGGATGTGAATGGGCAGAATTCACAATAAATTAATAAAAGGTTTTTTTAAGAGCCGAGGTGGCGCAGTGGGTAGAGTGCAGTACTGCAGGCCACTTCAGCTGACTGCTGGTTCAGCAGTTCAGCGGTTCAAATCTCACCAGCTCAGGGTTGACTCAGCCTTCCATCCTTCCGAGGTGGGTAAAATGAGGACCCAGATTGTGGGGGCGATATGCTGACTCTGTAAACCGCTTAGAGAGGGCTGAAAGCCCTATGAAGCGGTATAACTGTTATTGCTATTTTATCAGGACAAGGAGTTGCTTCATGCTCTTGGAAAGCCCAGGTCAGAACATTTTAAAATGGGAGCAGGTTTTATGGAATGGTGTGATTACAAGCCACCTCCAGCTTAATACATTATCATCAAGAGTGTGAATTATGCCTAGGAACATACTTGATAGCTGGTGGAACTGATTTAACAAGGAAGTAATTCCCTCTAAGTAGAGGCGCCTATCAGTAAAGTGGCTGCGGGGGTCTGAACTACTAGGATGTTCTGAGCACTGTCATTTTATTTATTTATTTATATGCTGCCCATCTTGATATCCAGAGCAATTTTTGCAATGCAGCTCCACGCAAAGTATGTTACAGTAGCCCAATGAAGAAGTAACTGTTATATGTTAGCATATTTTGATCCAATGACTTCAGGAATGGGCAGCATTTACAACATAAGATTTGCAATGTTGAAAATACAGTATTATGTCATTGAAAAAAAATACAGTGCATCCTGACTACCATGTACAGCAATATTGACTGTGCGGACAGATAATGTGTTTGTATTGCTTATTGTCCATTATATGTCTAGTAATCTTTCCATTTGCATAGGATTTAATTTAAAAAAATTAATGAAAGTTTTAACACAAGAGCAAAAATCAGTACAAAATCAAGCAGAATAAGAAGGAAAAAAGAAAAAAAAAGAAAGTTAAAGTGCAAAAAGAAAAAAGATACAGGAAATAAAGAAAAGGAAGGAAGAAGATAATGAAAAAGTGGGTTCCAATCTTTACAACAGTTATAACCACAATTGTAGATCTACCTCTTTCTATAAATCTACATAGGGATTCTTTTCTTTTTTTATTCTATCGTATCTAATCAAATCAAAACCATAAATCATGAGTCTATTTTTTTCTATTTTACGCAAAAAGCCCATAAAGGGTTTCCACTCGGCAATAAACATAGAGATTGTCTTTTCTCTAATCAAACAGGTCAATTCACCCGTCTGATCAAGTTCTGTCATCTTCACCAATCATTCCTTCTTTATAGGTGCTGCCAAAGTTTTCCTCTTTGGACATACAATAATCTTGCTGTGGTTATCATATTTCAAAAATATCGTGACTTTTCTTCCAACTGTTTATCAGACTTGAGGAAAAGTTCTGATTTCAGTTGTATATTAATGTTTAAAGCCCTCTGAAATAAAAGCATCA